AGATAAGTTATCTAGAATTATTTATGGAGCAGATAAAATACATATAATCATTTATTAATCAATTATCATTTTGACATATCTTTTCTTTATTTAAAGGCTGAAATGTGAGGTTTACGTTTTTATTAAACTTTTTCAAAGCTTTATTTGAAGATTTACATTAGCTATTTCAACATGCTATTAAACTGTTGTCAGTCAAGTTGTCATTTAAAATCCGAACATTATTGGTAATGTTATTGTTTTAGTGATTATGCAAACAAAAAGTTATTTTGTTTGTTGTTTGTTGATTTTTAAATATAAAACTTGGTGAAGTGATTTATGTGTCGGTACTTTTTTAACTTCTCCGGCACATTTTAACAATACCGTGATAATACTGATAACCGTGACAATTTTGGTCACTATAATCATGATAAGAAATTTTCATACCGTTACATCCCTAATATATATATATACACAGGCACAAATAACTTGATCGGGACATCCCTAGTATTAAATCTAGTGTAGTATGTCATTATTACAGAAGATGAAGCCCATCTGGTCCAGTGTATATTGAAGTTTTCAGACATTAACAGTGTTTTTGTCTGGAGTGGACATTTCACCTATAGCTTGCTAACGACATGAGACAATATTGAATCAATAATGAATAGAAGAGAGTTTGTTGAGAGATTGGTTGTTGTATGTATTGTAGCAGTTTGGAAAATGAAAGTTTGGGTGAGTGGGTGGTGCTTCTATGAAAAACATGCTAAAGCAAACATGCCATTTTAGCTTGCGTTGACAAGCCGTAGAGTTTTTTTTATCGTGACTCGTAGCCGAACGCGTCACATCACGAGAGCAATGCTGTTCCAGGTGAACAAAAAGAGCATGTTCTACATTAATCAAGACACTGGTGGGATACACGTCATGCACAACACGCTCGACAGAGAGGTATGCAAACAGTAATTCATTTAGCTTCAGCCACTCAGTAGACAGAATAATTTCAAATTTTGTTTTGTAGTTAATTTCAGACTTTTTTTATTTAAATCAAATTTATTCTTGATTAAAGATTGAAAATGTCCCATTTCCTGACATTCTAAACATTAATTTCTTCTACGTTTATGGATAATTTTGTCACAGACTTGACTTCATTCATTCATTTATTGTTGCACTGCAAGCATTTAGTTTTCCATCAGGAAATGCAAATTAAGTTTTTACAGAAACATAATTGATTTTGCATGGTTAAGTTTTCATTTTTCTGGTTAAGTGTTTATAAGATCACACTTTATTTTAAGGTGCAATTCTCTATTTCAACAACCCCCTAATCTGCTGCTTATTAATAGTTAGCAAGGTAGATGTTAAGTTTAGGTATGGCATAGGATTCATGCAGAATAATGCATTAATATGTGCTATATAAGTACTAATAAACAGCCAATATGCTAGTATGCATGCTAGTTAATAGTGAGAACTTGTCCCCAAAACTCAAGTGTTACCAATCCGAATTGTATTGCACGTTTACTTCCACATGCGACTGATGTTTGTGCTTTTCTCATCACAGAAACAAGAAACATACACATTGATTATTAAAGGGGCCGATCTGGATGGAGATATGAACGGAAAAACTGGAACAGGAACTGCTGTCATCAAGATTCATGACGTCAATGACAACATTCCTACTTTGGAGAAAAATTCTGTAAGATTTTATTTTTTTTAGTATTACCACACCAGCATGTACCAAATTACTTTACACATCTTTAGTTTATTATGAGTTGTTGGGAATATCTGTATGCACATACTTGTAAAGCACATGCATTATTATTTGAAATTACACATTTAATTGATAGGAAATATTTTGTCATATGTGACCCTGGAGCACAAAAGCAGTGTTGAGTCGCTGGGGTATATTTGTAACAATAGCCAACAATACATTGTATGGGTCACAATTATACATTTTTCTTTTATGCCAGAAATCATTAGGATATTAAGTAAAGATCATGTTCCATGAAGATAGTGTAAATTTCCTACCGTAAATATATCAAAACTTAATTTTTGATTAGTAATGTGCATTGCTAAGAACTTCATTTGGACAACTTTAAAGATGATTTTCTGAATATTTTTGCACCCGCAGATTCCAGATTTTCAAATAATAGTATCTCGGCCAAATATTGTGCTATCCTAACAAACCACACATCAATGGAAAGCTTGTTTATACAGCTTTCAGATGATGCATTCATCTCAATTTTGAAAAATTTACCCTTAAGACTGGTTTTATGGTCCAGGGTCACATATCAGAAAATAGTCAGTTAAGTTAGCTGTTCATGAAAGTGCATCTGGTTAATATATGTGAAATCACTATGGTTTTTAGTATGAGTGCCGTGTGGAAGAAAACACTAGAAATGTGGAAGTGGTGAGGATTCAAGCGATCGATGCGGATCTGATCTACACTGAAAACTGGCTGGCCGTCTTCACAATCGTGTCGGGAAACGAAGCTGGTTATTTCTCCATAATCACAGATAACAAGACCAACGAAGGCATCCTGATTCTCCATAAGGTAGACTGATCAGTCTGTCATTTTTCTCTTTTGCCTTTACAAACAGTGCTTTGTTTTTCTTTGCACACCAGCTGTCAAGATGAATATAGTTTTAACTGCACCATCCTTCAACAGCGTCTCTGCAAAACCTGCATTACATTCTGACAGATTAAACAAACAATCTGCATTGAGATGTGCTGTCAAGTCATCTTTATTTTCATAGAGATTTATACAGTACAGATTGTGCCAAAGCAGCTTCACAGAGAAACACAGGAAAATAGCAGAATCAAATATGGAAACTCAACTATGGAGACAGTTCTGTAAAGCCGATCTAAAATAAAACGGTGTCAATGTTTATCTAAATTCAGCTCAGTGTTGGTTCAGTTCAGATCAGAAACAGTGTGGAGTTCATCAAATTGAAACAAGTTCAGTTCAGCTGTTAGCAGCTGTGTGAAAGGCAACAATGGTGTTCTTTATTCAGCTTGAATCAGTTCAAGATAAAAGAGTAACAGATGTATTATTGGATGTAAAGAGAATTTTTGAATTCTAACATTAGATAATACCTGCATTGTTAGCTCTGTTAGCACTGCCTTTTCCTCAGTGGCAGTTACTTGCGCTTGTGCAAGACTTGAAATATGCTTATGGGCCAAATACTCCACTGGCAAATGTTCAATCACTGGACAACAATCTGTGCAAGCTGAGGACGCTGGTCTTGTTCCAACAAAAAAGAAATCTGCTTCAGAGAAACTTGTGGAGGAACCTGCTGTGGTTCTCCATGCATATTGTGGACAGGGTGAACTTGCTCATTCTGTCGTGTGGTTTTGCTCTCCTGATCTGGGATATCTAATGCTTCTGTGCTGGCTGCTCTGGAATTCACAGCCGTCCTTATCACAGCTGTGTACCAGGCACTGAAAGATCTGTACGAGTGTTTATCCAAGCAATGCATTCGAAATAATGATCATCATTGATGTATGTAATAATACATCAATAATGATGTATTCATTCATTAACGTGTATTATTTCTGCATTCCGGGTCCGTTTGGACCCAGAGAATCATTATTTTATAAAACAGTAACAACTTAATATTTTTCGACTACAACCATACTGTATCTGATCAGCAACTTCTGAGTGAAGTATGAGTGAATGTGAAAAAAATAAAGTTTTAAATGTTGCACATAAACCAAACCAAAATATATAAATAAAAAATGAATAGATAGGTGATAGATAGATATTGAATATCGATCGATCGATAGATAGATAGATAGATAGATATTTGAATAAATCATTGTATAACATTTATAGGAACATATAATCTGAAAATTACCAGTATTAACCCCATTGGAATGAATGGATTTTAATTAAATTAATTTGAATTTATAACTCACGATTGCTCAAAAACAGTCCAAATATATGAATCCTATATATTTATTTCTAACAAAACAATGTCAAAACATCATCAATATTAAAGTTTTCAAACTAAATAAATTGTTGCATAAACTTTGCCTTTCAGATGATAAAAGTGATCAGTTTTTCATTCTGCAGTGGTTTGTCAATAGACATACATATTCATGTTCATCAACAAAATTCATGGGCGTGTAAATTTCTGCTGGTGATTTACATTTACATGCGCAAAGCAGACCTCATACATCATCCGCCCGGAGCTGCTTCCGTGTACAACTGTTGGCGCAAGCTACATTAAAGTGATTATTACGTTTTGAATATGGATATTTTTCTTACAAAAACGCATTGATTCGCTACAGGAGGCCTTTGTTCACCCCCCGGAGCCGTGTGAGATACATTTTTTATGGATGGGCACTTTTTATTTAACTTCTTTTGGACTAATGCATGCAACACCCGCTGAGTGGCATTAAACAGCTTGAAAGATCAAAGACCATTTTTAATATAACTCCGACTGGATTCATCTGAAAGAAGAAAGTCATATACGCCTAGGATGACTTGAGTCATTTATGGGCTAATTTAAATTTTTGGGTGAACTAACCCTTTAATTCTCTTTGCGTGATTCACTCGAATACTCTCCTCCCATAAATTTAGCACCTGAAAGGGAAACTCCTACAATTGCATATTCTGTCCATGCCTTTTCAGCACTAATTCTTCACTGCGCGTCTTTAGTAAATCCTCACAATACCATTTTAACACCAAAAGACAGTTTGCGCTGGCGCAAGCTATTAGTAAATCTGACCCTAAACGTGTTGCAGTTTTTACTATTATTGTATCACAATTAATTGATCTCAGAAACTGTAATCATAATCGTGGTTCACTGTATAGTTTTATTATTTCAGAAGCAAGCATGTTACCCAATCAATGCAGTGGGCATTTTATTTGAGGATTAAAAGAAACACGCCCCTTTAAATAGTGTTCAAAACAAAGATACAAAAACAGGGTAGGAAATGACCCTTTATTTCTAAATGATTACTACTTTTGATGTAAAATTCTTTATAAGTGGACCTTCAGGAACAGGAATAAATGTGTGTGTGTGTGT